AGTCTCAGGCGGGAGCGGGGGTCCTGAGTAAAAATCCAGGAAGTCTCAGGCGGGAGCCGTTGTTGTTGTAGCCCGGGGGGCAGGGGCACAGTTTGAGCAGGAAGACTTTCCTTGAGAAAAAACAAGGTGCGAGCCCCGGGGGTGGCACTTCAATCGAAAAAAAATGAATGTGCACCGGTGGGGGGGGGGGATCAACAATAATTATTCTTCAAGAATGAGAGTTCAACAACAACAACATCAGCAGCAACAACAACAGCACATACAACACCAACAACTACAATAACAACACTCATTTCAAGACTGTTCGCTCTGATCTGCTCGAGGACCATTCAAAACATTACCATCATCAGGCGCCTTTGCGACACCCTCATGCTGCGGAACAACGTTGCCTGCATGCGAGACTGGACGCCCACGTAGAAAGGGCGGCCGCAGCGAAGAAACCATGGGATAATCATTCCGACCAGGGCCCTGAGACGCTGCTTCCATTTGAGCCCTTGGGCACCCTGTGGGCTGGAAGGGTCTGCAGTTCCCTGGTCTGTCCACGCGGGGTCTACCAGCCCCGAGAACTATCTGGGATGCCGAAACCGCACAGGACGAACCCGTACACCCAGAGCATGTGGGGACTCCAGCCCCGAAGAGAATCTGGGATGCCGAACTCGACGTCGTCGAACCCGAACTCCCAGACGAGCAGGTGCCTGAATCAGCAGGCGCGCCTTGAGGCCGAGATGCGTCAGGAAGACGAAGCAACACGCAGCCTCTTGACTCCCATAGCCTGCAACTGCTCCTCAAACTTGCGCTTACCTCCTTCAGATCCCATGGCACTGAACAACCTATCAACGTCCTCTGGAGATAGTCCATCATCCATCATACTGCGGCATCTCTTCGTCGTTCGCCCCAGCAGGCGGTGGTTCTGGAGAGGTAGCCGTCTCGCCTGCACCGTCAGGCCCTGGTGCCACCTCAGCTGAATCATTAGTTTCCTTGTGCAACTGTTGGGACTTCGCAAACAAGGGATTCTGCAAGAAGACGCGGACATCAGCGTGTGCCTCGAAAATCTCAGAGGGCAGGCTTAGGTCTGGCTGCTTCGACGAAGCGGGCATCGTTCTGCGCAGCTCAGATGAAAGTGCATCCACCTCCCGAGATGTTGCTGCCTCCTTCTCTTGGAGTTCCATAAGCTTAACCTGCGCGGCCTCGATGACTTCACGCTGGGCAGTGACAGCTGCCTTTGCGCGCTCATGCTTCTTCTGGGCCGACTGGAGACGGTATGCAACGTTAGTGTGTTGCTGTAGCGGAGGCTTGCTGCTTCTCTGGGCAGCACGGGCCTCGCGCAATTGATCCTGCAAGCACTTCTTGGCAGGGTCAGTATCATCGACTGACTCCAGCTGCTTGAGGGCGCTCTCCAAGGACTCGATCCTGCCAGCACGCGCCTCGTCGGGGTCAGCACGAGGAACATCAGAAGCAGGAGGCGGAGCCTTCGGCTGAAGAGCCTTGAGACGCTGGTCGAGCTTCTTGTCCATGGCCATTGTGAGCTGCTGAACGAGGTCTGACGGGGGACTCGCCGCCCATCGCCCGCTCGGGCCCTTGGGAGCCGAGGACGACGGCGTCTTGTCAAGCTCCTTGGCATGCTTTTTTGCGGCCTGCTGCACACGCTGAGGAGCAGCAGCACCACAAAGACATTTGATGCGACAAGCCCAGCTCGCAGTCCTGGTGCACTGCGAGCAAGACCAAAGAGGCGTTCGAGAGCCTCTGAGCACGGAACCGTCGCCAGACATGCTGCTGTTGGCAACGGCAAATAGAAGTCGAAAATTTTTGGCCCGCCGACGCAAGCCGTTCTGAAGTTGGCGTCGGCAAGCTCAGAAAACTCTCTGAGCCAGAACGGCTTGAGCCAAAATGGCTACAGAGGAAGGAAGGAGGAGAAGGAGGAGGAGCAGGAGGGGGAGAAACAAGAGGGGGCGGATGTGGTAATTCGGCCCCAGCACCTGGCCCCCGGCCTGCAGCTCGGCCGTTAGACACATAGGATGACCCTGTACAGCCAGCGGGGCCAGCGGGGCCAGCTGCGGCTGGCGCGCGCTCCTACTCTTCCTACTCCCCCTCCTCCTCCTCCTCCTCAGGTCCTCCTCCTCCTCCTCCTCATCCTCCTCCTCCTCCTCCTCCTCCTCCTCCCTCCTCATCCTACCCTCCCTCCTCCCTCCTCCTTCTCCTCCTCCTCCTCCTCCTCCTCCTCCTCCTCATCCTCCTCCTCCTCCGCTCCACGGGGCCCGCTCAGCACTGTCGCGGCAAGCAGTACGTTTTTACTCGCCCCCGGCGCCGCCACGCCTGGACGATGGGGAAGCGCTGACGGGGCAGATTGCGCCACCAGCCACCGATGCGCGCTCGCCTCCCCGGTGCTCGTCCCAGCCTCGTTCAAATGCTCTGTCTGCTTCTCCCTCTCTCCTTCTCGCTCTCTCTCCCTCCCTCTCTCTCCCTCTCTCCTTCCCTCTGTCCCTCTGTCCCTCTGTCCCTCTGTTCCTCTCCTCCTCGCTCCTTCTCTCCTCTCTCTCCCTCTCTCCTTCCCCGCTCTCTCCATCCCTCTGTCTTCCTCCCTCGCTCTATATATGTTTGTGGCTTTCCCCCCTTGTCTCGTTCTACGTCACCCTCCCCTCTCCCGTCTTTTCCGCCCCTCCTTCCCCCTTCTTTGCCTCCCTCCCTCCCTGTCCTTGTCTCTGCTTCTGTCTGTCTGTCTGTCTGTCTGTCTGTCTGTCTTGTCTGTCTGTCTGTCTGTCTGTCTGTCTGTCTGTCTGTCTGTCTGTCTGTCTGTCTGTCTGTCTCTCTCTCTCTCTCTCTCTCTCTCTCTCCTTCCCTCCCTCCCACTCTCCCGCTGTCTCCATCTCTCTCTCCCTCTCTCTCTCTCGCTCTCTCGACGTATCCCAAGAATATCCCCAGCGCCATTGTTAGAGGCATCCGTCGAATACTTCGGCACGCCGACCATCAATTCGAGATTTTGCGTGCTTGCACAGTCTAGTCGGAGGAGGGGGGGGGAGGACAACGAGGAGAAAGAGGGACGCGACTCGGGGCCCCCGAGGGCCGAGAGAACGATGGCAGAGTGGTTGACGTGAGGAGATACTTGCGCACCTAATTCGTTGCCTCAGCGAGGAGGTCGATAAGTGACCCGCCTCTGCACCGACCGCCAGTATCGCCGTCGTTTCATATATCGGGCGGCACTGAGAAGGAGGAGAGGGGGATGAGAGACAGGAGTGTGAAGAAGAGGAGCAGAAAAGGATATGGCAAGGATGTCGGGAGGAGGGAGACGGAGGATGAGGAAGAGTTGGAAGAGGAGGAAGAGGAAGAGGAGGAAGATGAGGAGGATGAGGAGGAAGTGAATCTGATGACGAGGGGACACGAGGAGTGGATGGAGAAGATAGAGAAGCTGGAAGAAGGGGCAGTAGAACAGATATGGAGTACGAAGGCAAGGGGAGGGGGGGAGGCAGAGAGGGAACAGGAGGGATGGGATGACGAGAAGCAGAAGGAGGAGGAGGAGGAGGAGGAGGAGGAGGAGACGAAGGAGTATAGGAGGGAAGAGGAGAGAGGCGGCAGAGCACTGGCAGGACGTTCGGGAGGAGAAGGAGGGCTCCCGTGATTACCAAGGCGCGGCGGGGCAGGGTCAGCAATTGTGCCCTCGCTGATGCTAGCATGGCACGCTCTGGACACCGACGGAGTCGGCACCCCCGGCGACCAGCAGAGAACACGCATCGTCTTGCTGACGCTGCTCGCTATTCTCCTTCGCATCAGTTCTCTCACCCTACCCTCTTTCTTCCTCCTTCTGCTCATTTTCGTCTGCTGCTCAGCCCCCTCCTGCTTTGTTGCATATCCTCAGCAGATTCCGCTGTTCCTTCTCATGTTCCTTCTGCTCTCTCTCTCTCTCTTTCCCTCTTTCTCATCCCCCTGTCATCAGCATCCTTGTTCCCTCTTGCCCTCGTCATTCGTCGTCCTCATCCTCCGCCGCGTCTTGGGGTATTAACGTGCGCTCGCGTCGATTCCCTTGCCCGCGCTGGGAAAGAGCGGGCCTCCATTCATGCTTACAGGCGCTGAGGGGGGAGTGTATCAAAATTCCTGCGAGCGCAGAGGGTCGAGTTAAGAGCAAAGTTTGCGAGGAGGAGAGGGGGGAGTATACGGGGGATGGTTCGGTGGAGGAAGCTCCCTACGGGGCCACGAAGTGTGTGAGGGGCGTGCGGAATCGGGCGCGGGTGCGCCATGCCCACTGTGCAGGGGGTCCGTCGGGGGAGGGAGGTCCCTATGGGGCCACGAAGCGTGCGAGGGTTGTGCCGAATCGCGTGCGGATACGCCATGCGGGCTGTGCCACTGGGGCCTTCAGGGAGCTCCCTTTATGGGGCCACGCAGCGTATGAGGAGGGTGCCGAATCGGGCGCGGGCACGCTATGCAGACTTTGCCGCTGGGGCCTTCGATGGAACACCTTCTGTGGCCACGACATATATGAGGGGTGTGCTGCCGAATCGGGCGCGGGCACGCCATGCGGACTGTGCCATTGAGGCCTTCGGTGGAGCTCCTAATGGGGCTGCGAAGCGTGTGGCGCGCCGTGCGGAGTGTGGCACTGCGACCTTCGGTGGAGCTCCCCATGGGGCCACGGAGGGTGTGAGGTGTATACAGAATCATGTGTGGGCACGCCGTGCGGACTGTGCCATTGGGGCTTTTGGTGGAGACCCCTACGGGGCCACGAAACGTGTGGGGTGTGTGCCGAATCGAATGCGGGTGCGCCATGCGGACTCTGCCACTGGGGCCTCCGGCGGAGCTCCCCATGTGGCCATGAAACGTGCGGGTCGCGTGCCGAAAGAGGCATGCGGGGGGCAGAGGCAGGGAGGGGGAGGGAGGTGGGGGAGGAAGAGGAGCAGGAGAGGACGCGGGGTGTGGTCTTCCAAAAGCAAGGGCTCAGCACCACAGGATGGTTGGGATATAGCCAATCTCTTTTTAGCAGGCCAGAGGATGCCTGCAAGAGGCCCCTTCGGGTCGACACTACGAGCGATGTTCTGCCGGCCCCACTGATGCTGTGATGCCTGCCGGACGGCCTTCGGCCAGTCTCTCCAGACGCCTTGCTGGGTGTTCACCTCCCCGCTCCATGTGGCTCCTGGGAAATTAAAAGGGAAATGACGCCTCCACCACAGCATCACGGCAGTGGCTCGCGACTTCATTTCTACACGGGGTGGGTGGGTAAGTTCCCAATCAGCCGCAGTTCGACGGCCTCGTCTATATCGCGAATCATCCTCCTGATGCGTCTGTGTGCGTAAACTCTGCTATGCGCGTTTGTGGCACCGATGCTGTCTAGGCCTCCTAGACGGTGTCGGAGTAGTTGGGGTCATAGGATCGCGCCGCATCGCCGATGCATCGACGATGCGGCTCGATGTGGAGCCCGTGCTTCCCCACGCCGACGTCGCCGATGGATCGCCGACGTCGCCGATACATCGCCGATATATTGTCGATGCGACGCGATCCTCCGACCTGACCCCATCTAGGAAGCCTCTATGCTTACGTTGAACTTCGCGCTCTTGGTGTGATGTGTGCAGGTCACCGGCGAGGCGCGTCTGATTTTGGGCAAGCACACCCGTTGTGTTGCAGATCGCGCATGTCCATGCGTCTTAACATCTGCTTTTGCACTACCCACGCAATATCTTAATGTAAAACTGCACTCTTTGAGTGCCCTTTTTTTTCCACGACATCCAAATGAGTGCGGCGAGCGCCATTCATGTGCACATGCCCGCGGCGCACCCAATTCCAACAGTTGCATCGTTTCAGGGGCAACGATCCTTCAACACAGGTTGGAATGTTACGTCTGCCCGTGCGCATGATTGTTCCTTCATAGAATTCCGCCAGAGGGTTCAAGCAGAAGTAGACATGGACCACAGAAGAGTCCTCCAGAGGGACGGGAAACCCTGGACCGCTTGGGCCGGCATGGTGCGCTGGTTTCGGCTGATGTTCTGTTCACAGTTGATTCAGGAATCGTGCTCTCACCTCAATGCCGGCTACATCGCCCAGCCATTTTTGCGCTTGGGTGACTCTGGCTCAAGGCCCTGCACTGCGCAGCGTGGAACTGCGCCATCTTGCAGTGCAAGCCAGACGCTGAGCTATGAGCGGTACCAGAGCGGGCCGGCTGCCGCCCGCGTCCAGCCAAAGCATCGTGGAGACCTACGTTACCCGCATGGCCTCGCAGCTCCCCGAGGACTTCGCGTTCGCGACCCTGGTGCCGTGGGACTCGCCGCACAGGCCAGACAGGCTCGTGACGCCGGGCGCTGCCTTCGCGGGCCACTGGGACGCAGGGGAGATCGCATCGTTGGTGTCTGGATGCTCCAGCCTGCTGGTGCCGTGCACACTCGAAACAAAGTACGAGAAGCGCATGATACAGAGTTTGTTGAAGCAGATCGAGCCGAACAGCGACCTACGTGTGGCCCTGCTGCAGCTGCTCGAGATCTCAGACGACACGAACCAGGAGTACGTTGAGGTGCTCATGGCACGCCACGACGTGCTCCTCGCTCTGGGTGCCGACGTGGTGATTCTCGACCCCAGCGACGATCAAGATCGGCTGTACGCAGAACTCAACCAAGCGCGGGCGTGGCTCGTAGCAAATGCCCAGCGTGCACAGTGCATGGTCGAGGGTGCGAACGCGAAAGCGCAGGCTGTGCTGGAGTACCACCACGAGCTGCTGTGGCAGAGCATCCCGACAGCTACGATGCACGCTTTCCCCCCGATCAATCACAACCTTGTGGAAACGGCCACCAGCGTCGGTGATTACCTGTTGATTCACCGCCTGAGCACAGTGAGTGGCAACGTGATCCTTGCGCGTCGGAGCGAGACTGAGGAAGTCGTCCTCAAGGTCTATGACAAGGCAGACTATGTAACTGGTTGGGACGTGGAGAACATTCATCACGAATTGCTTTTCCTGAGGGACGAGCTTCGACACCCGCACATCGTCCAGTGCATCTGCGTGCTCCACAGCTTCTCGCGGGTGTATTTGGCCTTCCAAGTCGGGGGCAAGCAGAATCTGAACCAGTACCTCCTGAACCAGCCAAGGTACCGCCTCGACTTGCAGGATGCTGTGGATTGCACCGCGCAGATAGCAGGAGCGCTGGCCTTCTGCCACTCGCGGGACATCGTGCACAGGCAAGTGTCGTTGGATCACGTCGTGGTAGATGACCAGTCGGAAACGCCTTTCTGCCGTTTGGTAGACTTTTCCGCGGCGACGCGCTGCGTGGGGTCGACGCCGTTGACCACGGTATGCGGTATTCTGCCGTGCATCGCCCCGGAGATGGTGCTGGAGGCGTCGTACGTCGCCAAGCCGGCGGACTGCTGGAGCCTCGGGGTTGTGTTCCTCGAGGCCGTCGCGGGTATGGGCTCGACGAGGCTTGCGGTCGGCTGGCCAGATGACGCGGAGTTGGAGCTTGCCGCTGCCAGGATCAGGAACTTCTTCTCCCGCGATGGCAGCCACGCCCGCGCGCTGGCGGTCATGGGCGGCGTGCGCAGCCAGACGGTGCTGGCCAGGATCTCTGGGCTCCTCGAGCCGGAGCCCGGGGCTCGGGCCGTCGCGAGCGCCTGGACGCACACGTAAAATATCGATCTTAGATCGCGTTTTCGTGTTGTGCACGAATAGGGTTGACCCAAAACGGGGTCCAGCAACAAGGGGGTGGTGCAATAGATTTGGGGCAATAGGTTTGTGGGGTTGCAACACAATTGGGATGTGCAATGCATTCCGGGGCGCAGATGTCTTGCTGCATTTTCGCGTGCATTGCGTCGCTTGCAATACAATGCAAACAATTCTCCGGAGCAGTACATTTGCTATACAGCTGCCCCAAATCCATTGCACCACTTCCTTTCTGCTGGACCCCTTTTTGGGTCCACCCAAACGAAGGTGCTGCCCGCTGCGCGTATAGAGTCGGCTTGAACGGGGGGTCTGCACATTTCGTCCAGCGTCGAGTCTTTTGTCGTCGCTGCCGCCTGCCCTCAGAGCAGATCGGCTGCCCCCTGCTATTGCGCCCTCGCCTCCTGAGGTGTGACCCCTGTAATTATTGCGACGCCGCCAACTCCCTTCACGCACCTGCCTCGTGCTCCTCCTTGTTCTTCTCGTCCTCGCTTGTTCAGGCTCCTGTCATTGTTCTCTCTGGTTTCCGGGACAACGCCAGTCTGCTTGCGAGAAGCGTTGCATGCCATATGTCTTGAGTCTCAGAGCAGATCGAGCTCGCATCAGACACCCCTAGTACTGGGAATGGCCCGCGTGCGCCAAGTATGCATATTATCGTTGTTTCGTTGCGCGCGCCAGGTTCCAGCGCAAGCAGCGCCAGCGCACGAAGCCATGCTTTTGGGGCTACTTAGTTTCTGCAACTCCCCGCTTCTTTGGATACATGTCGCGAGAGTCGCTAGAACCTGGGACTTGCAGCAACTGCGTGACAAAGTAGCTGCAGCAGCATTATTAGGCCCTCCGTGCGACTGGTGAGGACGGGCATGAGAAGCTTTGCGCGCCATCTGTCATGATGATTGGGATCTCAGAGGCGCTCGAGATTTCATCAGACACCCATAGTACTGGGAGTGGCTCACGTGCGCCCATCATCCATATTATCGTTGTTTCGATTCGCGCGCCAGGGTCCAACGCAAGCAGCGCCAGCGCACGAAGCCCTGCTTCTGTGGCTGCTTAGTTTCTGCAGCTCCCTGCTTCTTGGGATACATGTCGCGAGGGTCGTTGCAGTCAGGGGGTTACAGCAACTGCGTTTCAAAGTAGCTGCAGCAGCATTATCAGGTCCTCCGTGCGACTGGTGGAGACGGGCATGAGAAGCTTCGCGCGCAACTTGTCATGATGATTCGGATCTCAGAGGAGCTGAGATTTCATCAGACTCCCCAGTAATGGGAATGGCCGGCGCCGTTTTAAGTTTAGTAAACAGAGTTGTTTTGCTGTGAGTTATATTTCAAGCGCAAGCACCGCCAGCGCACGAAGCCATGCTTCTGTGGCTGCTTAGTTTCTGCAGCTCCCTGCTTCTTTGGATACATGTCGCGAGGATCGCTGCAGTCAGGGAGTTGCAGCAACTGCGTGACAAAGTAGCTGCAGCAGCATTATTAGGCCCTCCGTGCGACTGGTGGGGACGGGCATGAGAAGCTTTGCGCGCCATTTGTCATGATGATTGGGATCTCAGAGGCGCTCGAGATTACGTCAGACACCCCTAGTACTGGGAGTGCCCCACGTGCTTCCAGCATAAATAGTATCGTTGTTTTGTTTCGCGCTCCAGGTTCCAGCGCAAGCAGCGCCCGCGCACGAAGCCCTGCTTTTGTGGCTGCTTAGTTTCTGCAGCTCCCTGCTTCTTGAGATACATGTCGCGAGGGTCGTTGCAGTCAGGGAGTTACAGCAACTGCGTGACAAAGTAGCTGCAGCAGCATTATGAGGCCCTCCGTCTGACTGGTGAAGACGGGCATGAGAAGCTTTGCGCGCCATCTGTCATGATGATTGGGATCTCAGAGGCGCTCGAGATTTCATCAGACACCCATAGTACTGGGAGTGGCTCACGTGCGCCCATCATCCATATTATCGTTGTTTCGTTTCGCGCGCCAGGGTCCAACGCAAGCAGCGCCAGCGCACGAAGCCCTGCTTCTGTGGCTGCTTAGTTTCTGCAACTCCCTGCTTCTTGGGATACATGTCGCGAGGGTCGTTGCAGTCAGGGAGTTACAGCAACTGCGTTTCAAAGTAGCTGCAGCAGCATTATTAGGTCCTCCGTGCGACTGGTGGAGACGGGCATGAGAAGCTTCGCGCGCAACTTGTCATGATGATTCGGATCTCAGAGGAGCTGAGATTTCATCAGACTCCCCAGTAATGGGAATGGCCGGCGCCGTTTTAAGTTTAGTAAACAGAGTTGTTTTGCTGTGAGTTATATTTAAAGCGCAAGCACCGCCAGCGCACGAAGCCATGCTTCTGTGGCTGCTTAGTTTCTGCAGCTCCCTGCTTCTTTGGATACATGTCGCGAGGATCGCTGCAGTCAGGGAGTTGCAGCAACTGCGTGACAAAGTAGCTGCAGCAGCATTATTAGGCCCTCCGTGCGACTGGTGGGGACGGGCATGAGAAGCTTTGCGCGCCATTTGTCATGATGATTGGGATCTCAGAGGCGCTTGAGATTACGTCAGACACCCCTAGTACTGGGAGTGCCCCACGTGCTTCCAGCATAAATAGTATCGTTGTTTTGTTTCGCGCTCCAGGTTCCAGCGCAAGCAGCGCCCGCGCACGAAGCCCTGCTTTTGTGGCTGCTCAGTTTCTGCAGCTCCCTGCTTCTTGAGATACATGTCGCGAGGGTCGTTGCAGTCAGGGAGTTACAGCAACTGCGTGACAAAGTAGCTGCAGCAGCATTATTAGGCCCTCCGTCTGACTGGTGAAGACGGGCATGAGAAGCTTTGCGCGCTATTTGTCACGATGATTGGGATCTCAGAGGCGCTTGAGATTACATCAGACGCCCCAGTATTAGGAATGGCCCGTGCCGCCCTAAGTTTAATTCCCAACCTAGGCTCTGCCTAGACGGATTCTTACCGTCTAGCTCAAAGGGGCCTGGCAGTGCAAAACGCCCCGGGCGGTTCCCCCGGCATCCGCCCCGCGGTTCCCCCAGTTACGTCCCTTCAACTTAGCGTTGCTTATCTCATCTTAGCTTAGCTTATTTCATACTAGATTAGCTTAGCTTCATCTCAGCTCAGGTATATATTAGTTCAGCTTATCTTCATCTTAACTTCGCCGTACTTTAGCATAGCAGAGCACATCATAGCATAGCAGAGCTCAGCATAGCATAGCGCAGCACAGCATATCATAGCATAGCCCAGCATAACATAGCATAGCGCAGCATATCATAACATAGCATAGTATAGCCCAGCACAGCACAGCACAGCATAGCACAACGCAGCATAGCATAGCATACCATAGCAGAGTAAATCATAGCATAGCGCAGCATAGCATGGCATATCATCTCATAGCATAGCATAGCATAGCGCAGCTTAGCATAGCATATCATATCATAGCATAGCTTAGCATAGCACAGCGCAGCATGGCATAACATAGCTTAGCATAGCATAGCATAGCATACCGCAGCATAGCATGGCATAGCATATCATAGCATCACATAGCAACGAATGCTGCTTTCCTAGGGGCTCCAACTTCTAGGTAGGGTCGCACTGGGGTAATACACAGAGTTGTTTTGCTGCGCGCCACATTTCAAGCGCAAGCAGCGCCAGCACACGAAGCCTTGCTTCTGGGGCTACTAAGTTTCTGCAGCTCCCTGCTTCTTGGTGTACACGTTGCGGGGGTCGTTGCAGTCAAGAGTTGCAGGAACTGCGTGGCAAAGTAGCTGCAGCAGCATTATTAGGCCATCCGTGCGACTGGTGAAGACGGGCATGAGAAGCTTTGCGCACCATCTGTCACGATGAATGGGATCTCAGAGGCGCTCGAGATTACATCAGATGCCCCAGTATTGGGAATGGCCGGCGCCGTCCTAAGTTTAATGCACATAGTTGCTTTGCTGCGAGACACGCGGGGGGGCTGCTGCCCTCCTGACGTGATGTGGCCATGTCGCAGCACATGCGCGAACTGGCACCTGCTCGTATGCTTGCGTCGTCGGGGCTGCAGCTCCCACGCGCAGGTGAACGGCCGTGCTTAAACAAAAAGATCTGGGTACATGTTGTTCAGGACGGCCACACTCCCCTGTCGCTAACCCAGTTCGGTGCACATGGCCATGCACTCACCCGTGTGTGGATTACATATTTCCCTGATACCGCCGGACCGAGGTATAAGATCGAGGTCGATTCGGAGAGGGTACCTTACTGTTGTTCGTGTTCATTGGACGTTCTTGTGCATCCTGGGGAGGGTACCCTTGGATGTGTTGTTTGTTTTGGCCGACGGAAAGTCTCTTGATCCTGAAGGGTGCTTCTCTGGCCTCGGTCCGACTGCAGCGCTTCGCTAGGGCATTCTTACTGATAGCGGTGACGTGCTAGCCAGCGTGGATCCCAAGCAGTCTGTTCTAGCATACTAGGCGGTGATATATATATATATTATATATATATATATGTAGTGTTCTTTTCGTGGTGTTATGTGTGTGGTGTAAGCTATGTGGTTATTGCTATCGTGAGCAATGTATGTGGTGTACGCTGTGTGATGCAATCGCTGTGCTGCATGCTATGTTGTGCAGCCGGCGTGGTGTAATCTGGGCGGTGCAGTTCACCCTGCCGAGCATGAAGTTGTCAGCCCTACTGCTCGCGGAATCATCCCACCTACCCACAACTTGCTTTGCGAAACCCATGCGGCTGCGATTGCGATCACTGCTTGGCGCTGGCTGGCGCATCGCTCTGGCCGCGCTACCGCGCGCGAGCTCGCTCGCAGAGCGGCCAGCTAGTTTGGTGCGACCGACGCGGCCGCGGTGGCGCTGACCTTTGGGGACTTCCCAGCGCGTCTCGCAGGCCGCGCTGACGCGCGGGCAATACAGTGCGAATCGGTGATTTGGGCGGGCGCGGTATCATGGCGAGGTCGGCAAAAGGTAGACATGATGATGCTCGTATCGATGGTGGTGACGATGATGACGATGGCGACGGCGAGGCCAATGACGGCGCCAACGCTGATCACGCCGATGACGATGATGCTGTCCAAGTGTCGACGATGAAAATGTTAGTCGGATTTCGGCATGCGCGCGCGGCCGATGGGCGCGAGTGGCCCGCATGGTGTGATTTGGCAGGGATCGTGCCCCTCCTCGACGTGCGCGCGCGGGAGGCTCGCTTGGTCCCAGCTCATGACAATGCTGAACATGTTGAAAGCACGTATGGTTTTCGTCCGGGTTCGCAGAAGGCGCGCACACACTTGCTTGAAACATCTCTCTGGGCAATGGCGGTGCGTTTGCATAGTTCCGGATCCTCGGTTTTGAAGTCCTCACGACTTCATGGTTTTTCTGAAAGAGTTCGAGTGCGCGCGAGTATTTTTCTTTGACAGGGATCATGGGGCGATGCCGGCCCCCCTTGGATGGCATGGATTCAACGTTAAGATGGACACTGGGGCAGAACCATATGTAACATTCATTATCCCAGGGGGACTCGTTAAACCTGGGGCTGGGGTAGATCAGAATTCTGCACGTTTTGCGTATCCCCATCAGCCCATTCACAAAGCCTGCCCATTTGAGCTGACGGAAAAATGGACGAAACAACGCACGTAGTGAACCGAAGCGGGCAAAGAAGGGAAACGGACAGATCTCTGGGAGCAAGGGCGTGGCCTTGGAGGGCCTCTTCGGGCCATCCTTGGGGCCCGCGTGGGGGCGAGGGAAGGCGAAGGATGATAAGGAGGATGAGGAGGGGGGGAGGAGGGAGACGATGAGGGCAAGGACGATGACGAGGAGGAGGATGACAGCGAGGACGAGTACAGATCCTTCAAAGCGCCTCTTGGAGCCCTCCTGGGACTCTTTTGGGGGATCTTGGAGTCCACTTGGGGCTCTTTTGGGGGGTCTTGGGACCCTCTTTGCGCATTCTTGGGGGTCCTCTGGGAGCCGAGGGAGGCCATCGATCAAAAGGGACGCGGTCCCAATTTCCTCCCCCCCCCCCCCTGGGGCTATCAAAATTGCCTCTTGGGGCGCTCTTGGGGCGCTCGTGGGCCGCCGTTTGGCGCTCTTGGGGCCCACTGGAGGGCCTCTTGGGCCCTTCTTGGGCATCTCTTGGGCCATCTTGGGGGCCATCTCGAGACATCAAGAGCGCATCGGAAGCGAACTGTGCTGTAGACTTTTGAAGGCTTTGGGCCTCTTGGGGGGGGGGGTCCTGAGAGGGCTCTGGGAGCAATTGGAACCATCGTGTGGCCCTCGTGGGGCCTCTGGGTGTTATGTCGGAAGCCCTCTTGAACCATCGACGGACGTCCGAAGCCATCTGGGAGCCATCTGGGAGCATCGGAGGCCCTCTTGGAGTCATCTTGGAATCATCCTGGACGCTCTAACGATTCGCGGCCCGCACCGAAAAACCTCGGGGAGGGGGGGGGAGGTAAACCTCCCCGAAGGGAAGTTATTTGTGGGAAGAGGCAAGAATGATGTCGCTAGACCACCTTAGCCCCAAAGGGTTGGTGGGATATCAAATGATGGAGTCGTCAGTGTGCGCCCGCTCGGTGGCCCCAGGCGGGGCTGCGGCGGGGGCTTCGAAACCTGGCACCGCGCACGACCCGCTCAGCACAGCTGCAATCCAGTAGTAGTAGTAGTAGTAGTAGTAGTAGTAGTAGTAGTAGTAGTAGTAGTAGTAGTAGTAGTAGTAGTAGTAGTAGTAGTAGTAGTAGCAGTAGTAGTAGTCGTAGTCGTAGTCGTAGTAGTCGTAGTAGCCGTAGTCGTAGTCGTAGTAGTAGTAGTAGTAGTAGTAGTAGTAGTATAGTAGTAGTAGTAGTAGCAGTAGCAGTAGCAGTAGCAGTAGCAGTAGCAGTAGCAGTAGCAGTAGCAGTAGCAGTAGCAGTAGCAGTAGCAGTAGCAGTAGCAGTAGTAGTAGTAGTAGTAGTAGTAGTAGTAGTAGTAGTAGTAGTAGTAGTAGTAGTCGTAGTAGTCGTAGTATTAGTAGTAGTATTATTATTATTAGTAGTAGTAGCAGTAGCAGTAGTAGTAGTAGTAGTAGTAGTAGTAGTAGTAGTA